TGTAACGAACTACACTGTAGAACATTAGTTTTATCATGAGTACGCTGATCGAAATATATTATGTAGTTAGATATTGAAATCACTTATTTATGTAACCATATAAAACAAAAGAACAAATCTCGTTTCTTAGAAATATAAACGAAGTTATTGCCGAAATTCTCTTCTATTTTAATGCTCAATGCATGGAAATGATTTTATGAATAATTTGATTTGAGAGTCTTTGCAAGTGCTGTCCTTCGGTTTTTAGTAAAAGTTTGATGTTATTTTCGTTATTTCGAAACAATTTTATCGGTGAATCCGCCGGGTTTGTACCACTTTCAGGGAACATTTTTTTTTTCGCGCTTTTGATATTCCAGTTAGACGGAGCATAGCTGAAAACGGTTGGAGGTAATAATTAAAAAGTTTTGAAAGGTCAAAGTACGGAGATCCAGGTTGCTTTTTCGGAACAACTCCTCACATATGGGAATTATTAGGACAGTACCCCAGAATTTGCATTCACTTCTTTCAAATGAAGTCAAACTTTCTGAGCTTATAGGGTTTGGTCATCTTAGAATAATCGTAAGTTCAAAAATATTTCAAACCTTAGTAAGCGATCCAAAGGTGGGGTAAGACTCGTAGAGCAGTGTCGCCGATGCGCCAGGTCATACATAATTCCACTATTTGAAATGATTGAAATCTGAAAATTTTACCATAGATACTACTTGTTGAGGTGATCATTTTCAGTAGCAAACGTTTTCTTTGCTGGTGTTCTGTTTTTTTGGGAAATCGCACAACAAAATGGTAATTTCTGACGTTTTTTGGGCAGAAGTATCTCAATGAAGCTTAAACGTACTTTTACTTGTCATTAGTGCTTTAGAACTGCCAAACTGTTCTCTATTCAACGTTGAAATCCACAGATCTGTAGCTTGTTCTAGAACCGAATGGTAAAAACATCTTTCGGACCTAGTTTCAAAAATGTCCCAAATTTGCACCTTCGCCTCAGGCACAATTTTGAAAAACCAAAAACCTATCTTACAGTGGATTTTCATGAGTACACTTAGCTCTACCGTCCCTGAAATTGTCGTTTTTGATCAATGCTACTGGGCCCAGAAAACGGCCAACTCGATTGATATAAATAATAGCAATTAAAGTGATCGACACAATAGTAATTATCTTGGTTTTTATGACAACATTTACTTTATAAAACGAATCTGTAGCGATCAGAAAGCGGAATCAAGAAAGTAGATGTTTGTAGGAAATTGACTGCAATGGTTCGGCGAAACTGTCGCTTACGTTTTTATATCAGCATTAGAAATACCTATCAGCCTAGATATTCAAGAAAAATTCGGTTCAAAAGTGAAGTTTTCACGTTTTTGAGAAGCAGATGTCCTACGACAAGAGATTGTGTTGCCAGATAAAACTTCGAAATCGTGCATGCAACGAATACCATGAATTGTGCCTGTCTCGAAAAAGAACAGTAAGTTTCAATAAAAAATTAAGAGGTTTGACCTACCTGTTGTTTTGAATTGCTTGAGCCTTTCATTTAAAACCTTCAGCTTAGTTCGTTGTATTTGCTTCTCTTCAAGGAAAAATATATCGATGGCTGGATAATCCTTGCCAGCAGCTTTAGCTGTTTGCAATTGTTGGTTTTTGGAAAATGTAAAAAAGTCATATGGAGTTGACAGTAGAATATTTTTGGAAAGGGTGATTCGCCTCGCTGTTGATTTTAAAACAGCTCCAACGCCGTCACCGGCCCCCTTCCCGTGGCCAGTGGTGGTAAAAACCCAACCCTAGTCTCAATCCTGTTCATTCCTTGAGAAACCCTGAAAGGATCTGTCAGGATCCTGAATCTCAAGGATCCTGCTAAGTTTTATTCAGGATCCTGTCTCGAATCCTAGAAATTCCTGTTTCCAGGATTTGTCGAGGTGAAACAAGATCCTGTTTAGGACTTTTTCAAGTTCCTGCTCAGATATTTTTCTGAGTCGAGATTTCAGGTTCCTATCAGGNTCTTCTTCATTATTATCACCTTCTTCATTATCTTCATCTTCTGCATCATCATCATCTTCTTCATGATCCATCGAACTATTTCCACTTAATTCGTCACCACCAGTATCCATGTCATACTTCTTAACAGTTTCATCCTGTTCTTTCATCACCTTTGTTTCCACCCATTGACACTTCGAGCATAACCAACGAATATTTAATTGTTCCAAATCATAACGAGTCCGTATAAAATTGAGAAGACGAGAAGAAACCGGCCGAGAACCTGTTGCTATATAAGAAGAAACAGTATGTAGTGTTGAATATTGGCATAACCGTCGTCTTGGCATTTTTCCAATATTTCCTCGGGAATGGACAAAAAGAGAATGAGTTTATTATTGTAAACCAGCAGATACATATCATGAATCATCTAAAATATTTCATTGCTCGTAAAAGAGAAGCCACTACCGAGATGAAACAGTGCAAAAGATGTCATGAAATGTCGAAATATATCTGCGTTAGCACATGAGATTATAATAGAACATTCACCACTGAAGTTAAGCGTCGGCTATCGATTTGACTGTTCCTTGGTTGTCTATCGGGCATAAAATTATGCAAACACCACTGTTCAATCTGTACACATTCGTTTTATAAAGTAAATGTTGTCATAAAAACCAAGATAATTACTATTGTGCCGATCACTTTAATTGCTATTAATTATATCAACCGAGTTGTCCGTTTTCTGGACCCAATAGCATTGATCAAAAACAAAAATTTCAGGGACGGTAGAGCTAAGTGTACTGATAAAAATCCACTATAAGATAGGTTTTTTGGTTTTCAACATTGTGCCTTAGGCGAAGGTACAAATTTGGGACATTTTTGAAACTAGGTCCGAAAGATGTTTTTGCCATTTGGTCCTGAAACAAGCTACAGATCTGTGGATTTCAACGTTGAATAGAGAACAGTTTGGCGGTTCTAAAGCACTAATGACAAGTAAATGTACGTTTAAGCTTCATTGAGATACTTCTGCCCAAAAAACGTCAGAAATTACCATTTCGTTGTGCGATTTCCCAAAAAACAGAACACCAGAAAAGAAAACGTTTGCTACCGAAAATGATCATCTCAACAAGTAGTATCTATGGTAAAATTTTCAGATTTCAATCATTTCAAATAGTGGAATTATGTATGACCTGGCATATCGGCGACACCCCTCTACGAGTCTTACCCCATCTTTGGATCCCTTACTAAGGTTTAAAATTTTTTTGAACTTACGTTTATTCTAAGATGCCCAAACCCTATAAGCTCAGAAGGTTTGACTTCATTTGGAAGAAGTGAATGCAAATTCTGGGGTACTGTCCTAATAATTCCCATATGTGAGGAGTTGTTCCGAAAAAGCAACCTGGATCTCCGTACTTTGACCTTCCAAAACTTTTTAATTATTACCTCCAACCGTTTTCAGCTATGCTCTGTCTAACTGGAACATCAAAAGCGCGAAAAAAAAAATTTTCCCTGAAAGTGGTAGAAACCCGGCGGATTTACCCTAAAGAGAAATTATTTATCAAATTTTTAAAAGAGATTGAAGAAAAGAATGGCTCATGCCCTCGTTTTAAGATATTATGGAAAAAATCGGCTGTCTTGTAAGATAAATTAATTGTATTTATATGAAGTGCAATAGTATAAAATAAAATCTCTTAATAATTCACGATAAAAAAGGTCTTATCATCTCTGGACGACGATAGCCAGGAAAACGTTCAAGTATTTCAATAATTGAAAGTTCATGGATACATAAACTACGAATATTAAATGATTGTCGCCAAAGATCATGAAGTAGATCATTATTAGGATCATCTTTAAGTAACTCCATTTTCATTTGATTGACAATCGATAACAAATTTTCATTTTCTTTGTTAGATAAATTTATCATTGGCTAAAAAAAACAAGATAATAATTCTTCATTTAAAAATAATTCACAACTTACAATATCGTGAACTCGGCGCTCAGCTTGCAAAATTAAACTTTTTGTTTTTGGTCTTCCATTTGTTTTACCATTGCCATATTTATTATGTTTCAATTTTACAAAACTATTTGTCATCTGTAATGGTTTACGTTCACGTTTAAATTTCTGTTTAATTGATTCATGCCAATCTTTCTACAAAAAAAGGTATTAAGATAATCTATTGATTTTTTTCTTACTATCGCTTGATGAACTAATGGTGAAGGAACACGTAATTTCTTTACAATGCACTTGGCCATCGTTTTATATTCATCATTAGTTGGATAACTAAATTCAAATAAATAACAATGTTAAAAATTCTATTAGAATCAATTACTTACAACCATTTGTATGATTCTGTTATGTCATTGAAGAGAAGAGATAAAAGTTCACTACGCATCGCCGTATGCGGAAAAAATTTTGAAAGATTATTATCATCAATGTATTGTTGCATTCTCGTAGTTAAATTTGGTCCTTCATAATCTGAAGGTAATCGTACTTTCATAAGAATATCCTCATTATCATCGGACCAGTTATGATTTGAAGCATCAGCATCTGTTATTTGATTATTATCAGAACTGAATTCTACGTTGTCATTAAATAATAATGATGTTGATGCATCATTTTCGTTTAATGCGTCTAAAGATTTGAATAATGAAGATGAGTATTCAATCAAGAAAAATACCTGTAATTGCATTACTATTTTGACGTTGCTCAGTTAAGTTTGAGATTAGTTTCGTACGTTGATCAAAAATTTGACGCGATCTTTAATTCGAGGAAATATTTGAACAATATCATTATGTTGAAGTAAAACTAATGTTGGGCCATCAACTTCCTCCTCTATAACAAAAAGTTGGATCTTTTCTTTAACCAATAAACAAAATTACAAATGAATACATAAATATCTACCAAAAAACAATCTTATCAAACAAAAATCTGTTTTTAACTTCTGTATAAACAATAAAAGCACTTTTTATCGTCTTGTTAAACGAGTCAAAACATTTATATAATGTGCTTGTCCCACTACATAACAATCAAGACAATGTGGTAATATATCAAAACAATGATTTATATCTATAGAAGTCAATGTTCCTGTAAATTCAACTTCATGGCACCATAATTTATCATTAAATGAAATTGTATTTAGTTCTTCAGCAATAGCAACCCATTTTTCCTTTATGTTTAACAGATGGTGTATTTGACAGAATACAGGAATTTCTTCTGTATGTGCAAGATCACGAATAATTATTGCATTTGGTCTAATGTGGATGTTATGGTAATAAATTGAAAAACTTTCACGTATAGGATCAGATTGATCAATGCTATTCATTAATAAACGTTTAACAGGAATTGAAAGATCCATTAATATAATGGTTTTATACGATCGAATATTCAATGATAATGAAAAAAATGAGTTCGAATGGCTCAATAAACAATTACGTAATTGATGACGTTTCGAAAGAGTCAACAATGGATTTTTAAAATTAAATGTACGAGTAGCAAGTTGTATGAAATATAAGTGTTTTGCTTCAAACCTTATACCAGAATTTAATGTGGGAAGACCATATTTTTCAATAGAACGAGGATATTCAGTTATGAAATGGACTTTAGGTGTTACACGATCATGTAAACGTTCAATCATCAAAGAATAAAATTGTTTACATAATCCATCTAAGTATGACAACCATGCTTTTCTAATTAGATTACCATAGATATAACTGATAATTTCTCGTAAAATAGTGTATAATGGGAATAAGGACAGTTGATCAATGATATCATGGAATATTATCGGAAATAGTCGAAAAAGGCATAACTTTTGACTGGCAGAGCCAGTATTATTTGAATTAGATAGATGTTGCTTTTTAACTGGTGGAGGTTTATTAGAAGAGTCATAAAAGCCAAAAATGAAAGATGACGACGTACGTTGTTCAATTTTAGCATAAGTTAAAAGACGTTGTTGCACAGCTTCTTTTAACAGCGCACTTATAATAAGTGGACATACCCCTCAATAACAAAAAAGACTTATTTTTGCATATAAAAGAAAGTAAAATCTATTAAACAAAACTTATCAAATAAAGCTAATTAAAGTTTTATATTTAAGTATGTGCTCGTTGACTAAAACAAAATCAAGAAGAATTTTATTGATACTTTACAAGTTTTCGAAGAGAAACAGTAGTAATCAGTCGAGTTTGCTCTTCATATAGAAATAAGCATATGGCGAGGGAATTTTTTTTTAATGTTCTGTAGTAAAAGAATATCCAGATTTCTCGTTGAAAACGAAATGAAACATACTAAGATAAGTATGATCTACAAGAAATTTAAACAGACGAATAATTTCTTCAGATAATGGACATTCGTTTCAAGATTGAATAAGAAAATTACACTTTTTTTTATCAAAGTATGGAGTAATTTCGTTAGGATGAATTCTTGTATTCTTCGAAAGATATAAGACTCGGATGCATATTTAATATCGGCAATACACGGTTTGCACTACTTTATATTCTACTTAGTCGCGTTTCTGCAAAGAATACTAATTTTTCTGATGAAAATTCGTTCCCTCTTATTTTTCATACTGTACTACCTTCAGCTGTATCATGCATTAAATCCGGTGGAAGGGATTCAGTTGGATGAAAGCCCAGTAGGTTCCTAAACCAACTGTAACCAGTAACACCATAAAGAGCTTGACCATCATCGTTAGTTATAACTCGATTGACAATTAAATCGTGCTTCAAACGGGTTCGAGGTACAAAAGACATATCTGTTAATGGTATATGACGTCGTTCATAAGTTATAAAGCAGTGACGACAGAAACTTCCTGAGTTGAAGTTTTTTTGAAATCCACCTAACTCATTCGATGCCAAATTGTCAGCAGAGAGAGACGAAAAAATAAAATAAATTCTACTAGATATACAGGGAATTGTAATTCCTTCAGTTTGCAGATGATTAAGATCTTCGACCAGTACGTTCATTAATGTATCTCTACTTTCCTTGTCTTGCAAATGCTTGGTGTAAGTCATGCAATGAAGACCTATTAAATTAACTTGTGATCGTACAATGTCCGGCAAATCGTCAAGTAGAAAATAAAAACATGTGAATTTGTGTGCATCCTTATTTGGGCCAATAGGGTTGGTAATTCCTATTCCGTCTGTATATAACTGGAGAAGTAAAGGATTTGATTTCTTATTATTGGAAATATTTGACTTTACCGATCGAGATTGCCGATTCGATAAAATCAAATCATTATCTTTATCTAATTGAGTTGCCAAGGACTGAATATTATCTGTAATGGCATTAAGCAATTCACCACTATAAAGCAAATGAGATAGACTTGCTTTTAATGGAATGTAATAAGCACGATCTTCGGCTTTATTTAACACAATTTCAATTGGTGATTCATAGTTAAAATATTTTTGACATTGTTTCAGAAATACATATTCATTTTTACTAATTGAACTAATAAGTCTGTTAACGTGTGTGAAAGCTGTTTCTAAATCAGTAATTGATATAAGTGATGATGATAATTTTGTTTTAATTAGTTTAAGAATCATATCAAATAAAGTACAAATGTAAGATGAAATCGATTGCACGACTTTTTGGAGAAGAAGATGATATTCACGAAGTTCAAGTAGAAAACGGGTATAAAATTCTGCAAGTTTGTCGAAATCGAGTTCTTTATCAGTAACAGAACAAGAAATCGGATCGAAATTAAGCAATAAATGATTTGTTTCATCAAGGTCCTCGTCTTGATAAATAAAGGACTCAGAGTCCTCACTAAAATCTGATTGATTACTAAAATCAATATTAACAAATGAATCATCACCATTATTCAAAACATCATCAATATTCGATGAGATAATATTATCACTTTCCAGTGAATCAATCAGAGAGCGATGGCAACGGTACATATGACGTCGATAACTATCAAAAGATGAATAACGAGATCCACAAAATATACTTAATTCACATCGAATGCTGAAGGATGGTTCTTCACGATGTTCATTATGGATGTGTTTAAATAATGTAGGGTAATTTCGGAAAACGTTCGAAGAAAAACAAAGCGGACAAAATAATGTGTTTGGGGCATGATGATGGTTCAGAAACAGACAATACTTTAATGATGTATATAAAATAATTAGATGTCTATTTAACTAAAAAAAATCCAATAATAAAGTACAGTTTCTTCGAAAATAAAAAACAGAAACTAATGGTTTTGAACACTTTTTTGTTTAAAAAAGTTTAACATCGACAAATTACCATCCCTTACTTACATCGTTACCGTGGTAGTACTATTTTGTATAAATACACGTAAGTAGCAATACAAACTATTTCATTTGAAAAAAAATTGAACATTTTTTTTAATATAAAAGAATTGTCAATTTAATGTAATGAAATACTCGCTTAAGATAAAATTTCGTTCGCTATTTTTTTCTCTAATTTATAAAACGCCTACTAAAAACACACCTTTCCTTTACAATTAGTATTCAGTGTGAAAAGACAATATTTCTCATATTAGATCTGCAACTATGATGAAAGAGAAAATCTCCAACAGTTGTATAAGCAGAAAAGCTATAACGTTTTTCAAACATTCAACCATGTTTTAGATTTTTTTCAACTACATAATTATTATGAAAATTCAAGTCCAAGAAAAGTGTTTTATTGTCTAATAAATGATCTTATGCGACATTAGCACTAGAATCATAATAAATATAGTTCTGAGTTACAAAATCTTTATTCTATGATCTAATATACAATATTTTCTCTTTTTATTTGACTATATAAGTTTTTAAGACATTAAAAACTTTGTTTTCTTCTAAAATTAATATAAACTCAATTATACCTCGAAAATATTTAATAATTGTATCTTCAAAAATGAACGTTTTCAGCCAAGAAACAACTTGAGAATTTGATAGTGAATCCATTGCTAAACCACGTATATATATCAATATATCAACTAAAATAAATAATTGTNGTTTGGATCATCTGAACATCAGGCTCATGAATCACTTACCCTTCGACACCACCAGTATCCATGTCATACTTCTCAACAGTTTCATCCCGTTCTTTCATCACCTTTGTTTCCACCCATTGACACTTCGAGCACAACCAACGAATATTTAATTGTTCCAAATTATAACGAGTCCGTATAAAATTGAGAAGACGAGAAGAGACCGGCCGAGAACCTGTTGCTACATAAGAAGAAACAGTATGTAGTGTTGAATGTTGGTATAACCGTCGTCTTGACATTTTTCCAATATTTCCTCTGGAAAGGACAAAAAGAGAATGAGTTTATTATTGTAAACCAGCAGATACATATCATGAATCGTCTAAAATATTTCATTGCTCGTAAAAGAGAAGCCACTACCGAGATGAAACAGTGCAAAAGATGTCATGAAATGTCGAAATATATCTTCGTTAGCACATAAGATTATAATAGAACATTCACCACTGAAGTTAAGCGTCGGCTATCGATTTGACTCTTCCTTGGTTGTCTATTGGGCATAAAAATATGTAAACACCACTGTTCAATTTGTACACATTCGTTTTATAAAGTAAATGTTGTCATAAAAACCAAGATAATTACTATTGTGCCGGTCACTTTAATTGCTATTAATTATATCAACCGAGTTGTCCGTTTTCTGGGCCCAACAGCATTGATCAAAAACCAAAATTTCAGGGACGGTAGAGCTAAGTGTACTGATGAAAATCCACTGTAAGATAGGTTTTTTGGTTTTCAACATTGTGCCTGAGGCGAAGGTATAAATTTGGGACATTTTTGAAACTAGGTCCGAAAGATGTTTTTGCCATTTGGTCCTAGAACAAGCTACAGATCTGTTGATTCCAACGTTGAATAGAGAACAGTTTGACGGTTCTAAAGCACTAATGACAAGTAAAAGTGCGTTTAAGCTTCATTGAGATACTTCTGCCCAAAAACGTCAGAAATTACCATTTTGTTGTGCGATTTCCCAAAAAACAGAACACCAGAAAAGAAAACGTTTGCTACCGAAAATGATCACCTCAACAAGTAGTATCTATGGTAAAATTTTCAGATTTCAATCATTTCAAATAGTGGAATTATGTATGACCTGGCATATCGGCGACACCCCCCTACGAATCTTACCCCATCTTTGGATCCCTTACTAAGGTTTAAAATTTTTTTGAACTTACGATTATTCTAAGATGCCCAAACCCTATAAGCTCAGAAAGTTTGACTTCATTTGGAAGAAATGAATGCAAATTCTGGGGTACTGTCCTAATAATTCCCATATGTGAGGAGTTGTTCCGAAAAAGCAACCTGGTTCTCCGTACTTTGACCTTCGAAAAATTTTTAATTATTACCTTCAACCGTTTTCAGCTATGCTCCGTCTAACTGGAACATCAAAAGCGCG